TGATGATGATGAACCAGTGCCAGATGATCCTGATCCTGATCCTGATCCTGTTCCTGATTTGCTAGTTTGAGCAGATGATCCTGAGCCAGTATTTGAAGATGAGGCAGCAGCAGCGGCAGCGGAAGCAGCAGCAGCAGATGATGATGATCCATTATTATTACCTTGTGAATTTGGTCCTTGTGAAGCAGAGTTATCTGAGCTTGATGTTGAACTTGAGTCTGAAGCTGAACCTGATGATCCTGAACCTGATGAACCTGATGCACCTGAGGCAGCAGCAGCAGCAGCAGTTGAAGCAGCAGATGAGCCATTTGATGATGATGATGAACCAGTGCCAGATGATCCTGATCCTGATCCTGATCCTGTTCCTGATTTGCTAGTTTGAGCAGATGATCCTGAGCCAGTATTTGAAGATGAGGCAGCAGCAGCGGAAGCAGCAGCAGCAGATGATGATGATCCATTATTATTACCTTGTGAATTTGGTCCTTGTGAAGCAGAGTTATCTGAGCTTGATGTTGAACTTGAGTCTGAAGCTGAACCTGATGATCCTGAACCTGATGAACCTGATGCACCTGAGGCACCTGAGGCAGCAGATAGTTGATGATGATGATGAACCAGTGCCAGATGATCCTGATCCTGATCCTGATCCTGTTCCTGATTTGCTAGTTTGAGCAGATGATCCTGAGCCAGTATTTGAAGATGAGGCAGCAGCAGCAGCAGCGGCGGCAGGAAGCAGCAGCAGCAGATGATGATCCATTATTACCTTGTGAATTTGGTCCTTGTGAAGCAGAGCTATCTGAGCTTGATGTTGAACTTGAGTCTGAAGCTGAACCTGATGATCCTGAACCTGATGAACCTGATGCACCTGAGGCACCTGAGGAGGCAGCAGTTGAAGCAGTTGAGCCAGTTGATGATGATGATGAACCAGTGCCAGATGATCCTGATCCTGATCCTGATCCTGTTCCTGATTTGCTAGTTTGAGCAGATGATCCTGAGCCAGTATTTGAAGATGAGGTAGCAGCGGCAGCAGCGGCGGCGGCAGCGGAAGCAGCAGCAGATGATGATCCATTATTATTACCTTGTGAATTTGGTCCTTGTAGCAGAGCTATCTGAGCTTGATGTTGAACTTGAGTCTGAAGCTGAACCTGATGATCCTGAACCTGATGAACCTGATGCACCTGAGGCACCTGAGGCAGCAGCAGTTGAAGCAGCAGATGCGCCAGTTGATGATGATGATGAACCAGTGCCAGATGATCCTGATCCTGATCCTGATCCTGTTCCTGATTTGCTAGTTTGAGCAGATGATCCTGAGCCAGTATTTGAAGATGAGGCAGCAGCGGCAGCAGCGGCGGCGGCAGCGAAGCAGCAGCAGCAGATGATGATCCATTATTACCTTGTGAATTTGGTCCTTGTGAAGCAGAGCTATCTGAGCTTGATGTTGAACTTGAGTCTGAAGCTGAACCTGATGATCCTGAACCTGATGAACCTGATGCACCTGAGGCACCTGAGGCAGCAGCAGTTGAAGCAGCAGATGAGCCAGTTGATGATGATGATGAACCAGTGCCAGATGATCCTGATCCTGATCCTGATCCTGTTCCTGATTTGCTAGTTTGAGCAGATGATCCTGAGCCAGTATTTGAAGATGAGGCAGCAGCGGCAGCGGCAGCAGCGGCAGCAGCAGATGATGATCCATTATTATTACCTTGTGAATTTGGTCCTTGTGAAGCAGAGCTATCTGAGCTTGATGTTGAACTTGAGTCTGAAGCTGAACCTGATGAACCTGATGCACCTGAGGCACCTGAGGCAGCAGCAGTTGAAGCAGCAGATGAGCCAGTTGATGATGATGATGAACCAGTGCCAGATGATCCTGATCCTGATCCTGATCCTGTTCCTGATTTGCTAGTTTGAGCAGATGATCCTGAGCCAGTATTTGAAGATGAGGCAGCAGCAGCGGCAGCAGCGGCGGCGGCAGCGGAAGCAGCAGCAGCAGATGATGATCCATTATTATTACCTTGTGAATTTGGTCCTTGTGAAGCAGAGCTATCTGAGCTTGATGTTGAACTTGAGTCTGAAGCTGAACCTGATGATCCTGAACCTGATGAACCTGATGCACCTGAGGCACCTGAGGCAGCAGCAGTTGAAGCAGCAGATGAGCCAGTTGATGATGATGATGAACCAGTGCCAGATGATCCTGATCCTGATCCTGATCCTGATCCTGATCCTGTTCCTGATTTGCTAGTTTGAGCAGATGATCCTGAGCCAGTATTTGAAGATGAGGCAGCAGCAGCGGCAGCAGCGGCGGCGGCAGCGGAAGCAGCAGCAGATGATGATCCATTATTACCTTGTGAATTTGGTCCTTGTGAAGCAGAGCTATCTGAGCTTGATGTTGAACTTGAGTCTGAAGCTGAACCTGATGATCCTGAACCTGATGAACCTGATGCACCTGAGGCACCTGAGGCAGCAGTTGAAGCAGCAGATGAGCCAGTTGATGATGATGATGAACCAGTGCCAGATGATCCTGATCCTGATCCTGATCCTGTTCCTGATTTGCTAGTTTGAGCAGATGATCCTGAGCCAGTATTTGAAGATGAGGCAGCAGCAGCGGCAGCAGCGGCGGCGGCAGCGGAAGCAGCAGCAGCAGATGATGATCCATTATTATTACCTTGTGAATTTGGTCCTTGTGAAGCAGAGCTATCTGAGCTTGATGTTGAACTTGAGTCTGAAGCTGAACCTGATGATCCTGAACCTGATGAACCTGATGCACCTGAGGCACCTGAGGCAGCAGCAGTTGAAGCAGCAGATGAGCCAGTTGATGATGATGATGAACCAGTGCCAGATGATCCTGATCCTGATCCTGATCCTGTTCCTGATTTGCTAGTTTGAGCAGATGATCCTGAGCCAGTATTTGAAGATGAGGTAGCAGCAGCGGCAGCAGCGGCGGCGGCAGCGGAAGCAGCAGCAGATGATGATCCATTATTACCTTGTGAATTTGGTCCTGTGAAGCAGAGCTATCTGAGCTTGATGTTGAACTTGAGTCTGAAGCTGAACCTGATGAACCTGATGCACCTGAGGCACCTGAGGCACCTGAGGCAGCAGCAGCAGTTGAAGCAGATGAGCCAGTTGATGATGATGATGAACCAGTGCCAGATGATCCTGATCCTGATCCTGATCCTGTTCCTGATTTGCTAGTTTGAGCAGATGATCCTGAGCCAGTATTTGAAGATGAGGCAGCAGCGGCAGCAGCGGCGGCAGCGGCAGCAGCAGCAGATGATGATCCATTATTATTACCTTGAATTTGGTCCTTGTGAAGCAGAGCTATCTGAGCTTGATGTTGAACTTGAGTCTGAAGCTGAACCTGATGATCCTGAACCTGATGAACCTGATGCACCTGAGGCACCTGAGGCAGCAGCAGTTGAAGCAGCAGATGAGCCAGTTGATGATGATGATGAACCAGTGCCAGATGATCCTGATCCTGATCCTGATCCTGTTCCTGATTTGCTAGTTTGAGCAGATGATCCTGAGCCAGTATTTGAAGATGAGGCAGCAGCAGCGGCAGCAGCGGCGGCGGCAGCGGAAGCAGCAGCAGCAGATGATGATCCATTATTATTACCTTGTGAATTTGGTCCTTGTGAAGCAGAGCTATCTGAGCTTGATGTTGAACTTGAGTCTGAAGCTGAACCTGATGATCCTGAACCTGATGAACCTGATGCACCTGATGCACCTGAGGCACCTGAGGCAGCAGCAGTTGAAGCAGCAGATGAGCCAGTTGATGATGATGATGAACCAGTGCCAGATGATCCTGATCCTGATCCTGATCCTGTTCCTGATTTGCTAGTTTGAGCAGATGATCCTGAGCCAGTATTTGAAGATGAGGTAGCAGCAGCGGCAGCAGCGGCGGCGGCAGCGGAAGCAGCAGCAGCAGATGATGATCCATTATTATTACCTTGTGAATTTGGTCCTTGTGAAGCAGAGCTATCTGAGCTTGATGTTGAACTTGAGTCTGAAGCTGAACCTGATGAACCTGATGCACCTGAGGCACCTGAGGCACCTGAGGCAGCAGCAGTTGAAGCAGCAGATGAGCCAGTTGATGATGATGATGAACCAGTGCCAGATGATCCTGATCCTGATCCTGATCCTGTTCCTGATTTGCTAGTTTGAGCAGATGATCCTGAGCCAGTATTTGAAGATGAGGCAGCAGCAGCGGCAGCAGCGGCGGCAGCAGCGGAAGCAGCAGCAGCAGATGATGATCCATTATTATTACCTTGTGAATTTGGTCCTTGTGAAGCAGAGCTATCTGAGCTTGATGTTGAACTTGAGTCTGAAGCTGAACCTGATGATCCTGAACCTGATGAACCTGATGCACCTGAGGCACCTGAGGCAGCAGTTGAAGCAGCAGATGAGCCAGTTGATGATGATGATGAACCAGTGCCAGATGATCCTGATCCTGATCCTGATCCTGTTCCTGATTTGCTAGTTTGAGCAGATGATCCTGAGCCAGTATTTGAAGATGAGGCAGCAGCAGCGGCAGCAGCGGCGGCGGCAGAAGCAGCAGCAGCAGATGATGATCCATTATTACCTTGTGAATTTGGTCCTTGTGAAGCAGAGCTATCTGAGCTTGATGTTGAACTTGAGTCTGAAGCTGAACCTGATGATCCTGAACCTGATGAACCTGATGCACCTGAGGCACCTGAGGCAGCAGCAGAAGCAGCAGATGAGCCAGTTGATGATGATGATGAACCAGTGCCAGATGATCCTGATCCTGATCCTGATCCTGTTCCTGATTTGCTAGTTTGAGCAGATGATCCTGAGCCAGTATTTGAAGATGAGGCAGCAGCAGCGGCAGCAGCGGCGGCGGCAGGAAGCAGCAGCAGCAGATGATGATCCATTATTATTACCTTGTGAATTTGGTCTTGTGAAGCAGAGCTATCTGAGCTTGATGTTGAACTTGAGTCTGAAGCTGAACCTGATGATCCTGAACCTGATGAACCTGATGCACCTGAGGCACCTGAGGCAGCAGCAGTTGAAGCAGATGAGCCAGTTGATGATGATGATGAACCAGTGCCAGATGATCCTGATCCTGATCCTGATCCTGTTCCTGATTTGCTAGTTTGAGCAGATGATCCTGAGCCAGTATTTGAAGATGAGGCAGCAGCGGCAGCGGAAGCAGCAGCAGCAGATGATGATGATCCATTATTATTACCTTGTGAATTTGGTCCTTGTGAAGCAGAGTTATCTGAGCTTGATGTTGAACTTGAGTCTGAAGCTGAACCTGATGAACCTGATGCACCTGAGGCACCTGAGCAGCAGTTGAAGCAGCAGATGAGCCATTTGATGATGATGATGAACCAGTGCCAGATGATCCTGATCCTGATCCTGATCCTGTTCCTGATTTGCTAGTTTGAGCAGATGATCCTGAGCCAGTATTTGAAGATGAGGCAGCAGCAGCGGCAGCGGCGGCGGCAGCGGAAGCAGCAGCAGATGATGATCCATTATTACCTTGTGAATTTGGTCCTGTGAAGCAGAGCTATCTGAGCTTGATGTTGAACTTGAGTCTGAAGCTGAACCTGATGATCCTGAACCTGATGAACCTGATGCACCTGAGGCACCTGGAGGCAGCAGTTGAAGCAGCAGATGAGCCAGTTGATGATGATGATGAACCAGTGCCAGATGATCCTGATCCTGATCCTGATCCTGTTCCTGATTTGCTAGTTTGAGCAGATGATCCTGAGCCAGTATTTGAAGATGAGGCAGCAGCAGCGGCAGCAGCGGCGGCAGCGGAAGCAGCAGCAGCAGATGATGATCCATTATTACCTTGTGAATTTGGTCCTTGTGAAGCAGAGCTATCTGAGCTTGATGTTGAACTTGAGTCTGAAGCTGAACCTGATGATCCTGAACCTGATGAACCTGATGCACCTGAGGCACCTGAGGCAGCAGTTGAAGCAGCAGTTGAGCCAGTTGATGATGATGATGAACCAGTGCCAGATGATCCTGATCCTGATCCTGATCCTGTTCCTGATTTGCTAGTTTGAGCAGATGATCCTGAGCCAGTATTTGAAGATGAGGCAGCAGCGGCAGCGGCGGCGGCAGCGGCAGCAGCAGCAGATGATGATCCATTATTATTACCTTGTGAATTTGGTCCTGTGAAGCAGAGCTATCTGAGCTTGATGTTGAACTTGAGTCTGAAGCTGAACCTGATGATCCTGAACCTGATGAACCTGATGCACCTGAGGCACCTGAGCAGCAGTTGAAGCAGCAGTTGAGCCAGTTGATGATGATGATGAACCAGTGCCAGATGATCCTGATCCTGATCCTGATCCTGTTCCTGATTTGCTAGTTTGAGCAGATGATCCTGAGCCAGTATTTGAAGATGAGGTAGCAGCAGCGGCAGCAGCGGCGGCAGCGGAAGCAGCAGCAGCAGATGATGATCCATTATTATTACCTTGTGAATTTGGTCCTTGTGAAGCAGAGCTATCTGAGCTTGATGTTGAACTTGAGTCTGAAGCTGAACCTGATGATCCTGAACCTGATGAACCTGATGCACCTGAGGCAGCAGCAGCAGCAGCAGTTGAAGCAGCAGATGAGCCAGTTGATGATGATGATGAACCAGTGCCAGATGATCCTGATCCTGATCCTGATCCTGTTCCTGATTTGCTAGTTTGAGCAGATGATCCTGAGCCAGTATTTGAAGATGAGGCAGCAGCAGCGGCAGCAGCGGCGGCAGCGGAAGCAGCAGCAGCAGATGATGATCCATTATTATTACCTTGTGAATTTGGTCCTTGTGAAGCAGAGCTATCTGAGCTTGATGTTGAACTTGAGTCTGAAGCTGAACCTGATGATCCTGAACCTGATGAACCTGATGCACCTGAGGCACCTGAGGCAGCAGCAGTTGAAGCAGCAGATGATCCTGATCCTGATCCTGATCCTGTTCCTGATTTGCTAGTTTGAGCAGATGATCCTGAGCCAGTATTTGAAGATGAGGCAGCAGCAGCGGATGAGCCAGTTGATGATGATGAACCTGTGCCATCATCAGAAGATGATAAAGCACCATTAGAGGTAGATTTGTTGTTCGTATCAGAATCGGTAGATGAAGATGTTGATGAAGAGCTTTGAGATGAAGATTGGGCTGATGAATCAGAAGATGATGCTACTTTAGAGCTGGGTTTTTTACCAAACCAGTTTGGAAATTTCATAGACATCCCAAACATTCCATTACTGTTAGGATATGATCTTTTCACAGTATTAGCATCAACACTTATCGATAGAGCTATAGCAAGAGTCGCAATTGCGATTAAAGTTGGAAGGTTTTTCATGATGTTTTAGATGGTTCGATTGTTAACTCAGAACGAATAAACTTGAATGATAATTTAGCTAATTTTTCTTGCTTTTTATACGATTTTTGCTCAGCGTCTGTTTCAACAAGTTCGTATCCACTTGTTCTTCTTGTTAAAATTATTTTCCTTTAGACTACCTGTTCAAACACTCTGTTCGCATAAAACAAATTAAAATTCTCAATTTAATTAAACTTGTTGATGTTTCACTACGCTTTAACAAGTATATTTATCAGTTTCTAACGCTCTTTTTCCGTTTCCTAGCTTCCGTTTCCAGCTCACTTTAATCCTGTATAAACAAAAATATTTGTTCGTGTAGTTAATAGATATACATGTTATGCATATTAAGTCTCTGCTAATACGTAAAAAACTTATTGAACTTAAGAATTTTTCATCAATTATGTTATCATTATTGCACTGATATGATCTCAGATTATTTTTATTCAATGTAAACCAATTGTGTATCAATGAAATATTAGCTTCATTTTATTATCATATTATATTCTACTGATGCCATCTCAGTCCATTTGAACCCTTCTCACTGCATGTCTATCAAAAACAAACCAACAACAATAATCATAATCGTCACTATTTGTTTCGATTATCATCCAGATAGTGTTACCAGTTGATTAGATTCATACAAAATCCATAAAATTTTTCTTCTTCTTTTTCAATTTTTGTTTGTGAGAAAAAGAGAGATGATAATGGTGATAATGATAAAATGCTAAAGAGTCTTGAACACTCTGTAACCTAGTTTACAGTTTAAAGGGTTTAATGAATCGAATCAAATGACACCTCATTTTTTTCGATTTTCTTTCATTATCTTGCATTTCCAGTCCCAGAGAAAGTGATGATTGTGATGAGAGCAAAAGAGAGATTATTTTATCTTATTGTCTCTTTATTTTTTTCTTATACTAATTTGAATCCTCAATTTCTTTACCTTGCTTTTGGCTTTATTTCACAACATTGATAAACATGACAAATATTTGTAGTTAAACATAGAGTTGATAAGATTTATTAATAGTCCAAATGTTTTAATAATAATTGGTAAATGTAATAATTCAATTCAAGTGAACAAATAAAACAATGAATGCACGTTTCAAGGTGAACTCATTTTACCGATGAAAGCTCATGGTGATAAAAACGATGTTTTTATGATATTGAGTGAAAATAGATCAGAGAATATTTTAGATGTAGATGATAAAGATGAAAATGATGGCCCCTTGTGATTCCAAACATTTAACGTACCGTAACTGTTACATTATAATGAAAATAAATGTGCTTCCAGCAACAATGAAAATAGACTATTATTATTATCATGGTCTTGAATTCATTGCCTTGAGCTTTTTTGTTGCTTATATGAAATTTCATGTTATCCGATTTCACTTTCACCTCTTCATCTCTCCCTTGAATTTACTTATTATCCTCTCATATCATCATCATCATTTTCATCCTGGTATAGCAACTAGATAATTTTAATTTACTCAATTTCAAGTGTATTGATAATTCAGTTTCAATGATATTTCTCAATAATAATACTAATATTTTTCATTCGAGAAAGATTCTCTTCATAGTATAATTTAACACTGCTTTCATCATCTATTTTATTGTATGATGAGCGAAGCGAAAAGTTCATTAACACCAGAAAAAAGTGCTCACTTTATATCCATAGAAAATATTTATTCTTTTTTTTCTTCAAAGGCTCAGAATTTTTTTTCTTTATGTATTTTCGTTGAATGTATTACATACCCATGATTCTTGTTGGAACATTATTATTAATAGATTATTGTATTACCTTAATGATGAATGCTTACAAACCGAATAATGAGTTTGCTGTTGATTTTTCGTCGAATAAACTTTTCTCCCCCTTTTTTATCATTATCTGTATCATTATCATGTTTAGAACAATTTTTTTTATCTTCTTTCTTCAATTTTTTCAAATAATCATAGTGGTAATAAATTTTAATGAGTGTGAGTGCATTTGATAAACGATGAAAATGATCAATTTGAAACTTATCTTTCTCTCTCAAACATCGAACTGAAATTCCATAACTTTTATTTCTTATTCGATTCTTTTTTTCATGATAAATGAAAATTTTTGCTTGGATTGAAAAATTTTCATCTATTATTCTCATCGAAATTGCTATTTAATAACATCACGATTAATATTATCATTGTAAGTATTCAATGATCATCAACAATAACAATGAATACTGATAATATGATGATAATTTCATGATCAGTTGATTGCTTGAGGTGATGTTAGTTTATCATTGACGATGGATAATAATTGGAATTATGTAATCTTCAAACTATCGAATATGAACTGATGCAGAGAGAGAGAGAGAGAGAGAGAGAGAGAGAGAGAGAGAGAGAGAGAGAGAGAGAGAGAGAGAGTTAATATGATTATTTTTTAATCGTTTTCTAAATTACTCACAATAATAATAATCATTATCATGGTTGTTGATTATCTATTAATCGCATTCTCGTGTTATCTTTTCATTAGTTGTGAATGAAAATCGCCTCAGGATAATTTTCTGTTGTATTTATCCAATGCATGTTAACATAGACCAGGGGGGTGTCTCATTTTTATGGTGAAAACAAAGTAAACAAAACAATCGCCTACACCTCATTCAATTATCTTCATGCTCAACTTGATGTTCATTTTCCACTCCAATCCCTGTTTATCATCTTTTTTTCACCTATCATGATGATTCAGTTTTATAACATGATGAAATTCACATGAACTCGCTAGTATAACGCATCATAGAGCTAGAACTAAAAATTTAATCGAAATATCTTGTCATCCGGAAGCATCTTTAGCCTTCTTCAGCATCTATGGTTAAATTTCTTCCCTCAGGGTGAATTGTCAAGAAAAACAGAAAAAACTCACCTTCTTCTATTTCTTTTATCAAATTTTCAGAATTTGAATCGAATTCAATCTGTGCCAAGTTTCCATGCACTTTCATACACTCTTTTTCTTTCAATTTATTATTTGTATCGCTCTCTCTCTCTCTCTTCCTTTTTTTCTTTCTTTCTATTCCTTGTTGTTACCAAATCATTGACATGATGACAAAGTGGAGCAAGAAAAAGGTTAATATGAAACTTCATGAGCTCTCAGAATTTTCTAATCTCTCTCTCTCTCTCTCTCTCTCTTTCTTTCTTTCTTTCTTTCTAGTTTAAGTTAAAGTTGTATTGAACAAATAATAACAGTGTACAGTATGTGATTTCTATCACAGTAAATGATATATCAATAAACTGATGTAATGTTGACAGATAATAGAAAAAAGTTTCGAAAAAAAGCTCAGAAACTAAAGTTTTGCTTCCTCTAGCAAAAAAGAGAAAAGTCTCTTTATCGAGTTTGAACCTTTTATCATATAATTTCCACCAATGGATACTTGTAGATTGTAAGAAAATGAAACAAATTCTCACGAATAATAAGAGACAACATGTTACATCTCAATAAGAATATAAAAAAATTCAATGAATTTTAAGAAGGAAGCAAAAAATTTCATTTCAATGTTCAGATCATGAAAGGGGAGAGTTAAATCTGTAATCAGCAAAATGTTCAAAGTCGAAGATAAACTTTTACGACATTCACTTTATTTTTATCACCATCAGGTTAACATCATCATCACTATCGGCCAAAATTCATGACGGTGAAAAAGAGCAAATTTCCTCTTCCTTATTGAGTATTACCCATAATGTTATCCTGGTTAAATGATGATGATAAAAGGATGGAGATGGAGATGATGATGAAAAACAATAAAAGTACATTTTATTTGACAGAGACATACATAAAAACTAAACAAGGGCAAAGGCATAAAACTTTATTATCAAATTGCTTTTTCCACCGATGATATAATAATATGGATGATACTATCTTCATGAGAGTGGGAGGATGAGAGAGATAGAGAGATAGAGAGAAAATTAATCTTCTATTCCTTAATAATCATCATCTCTCTCTCTTTCCGTTTACATATTACATAGAAAGATGAAGATGAAAAGTCATTTACAGATAATCCAAAGTTCAGTTGAAAAGCTTATCCATCAATAAAAGTGTAAAAATATAATATAGCCATGAATATCCTCCATTATCAAGATTAGATTGATTAGTTTCTCCACCGATACTGACTTTTTACCCGCTCTCATTTTCTCGGTGTAATTTTCATTTTTATAGCTTATTCTGAGTTCCTACTGAAATTACATTTTATTGTCATCATAGAAAGAGAAAGAAAGAGAGAAAGATGATTTTATCATCCAGGGTAATAAACTATTATTATCATGATTATCAAGTTGAGTGTGTGAAAGATTAACATTGAATTAAATTTCCGTGCAAATAATTAAAAGTACCAATAAATAATATTATTATCATTTTAATTGAGCTCAATGATTTTGGGTCAATTTAGAGTTATCATTTTGACAGAAAGTTATTTACAAGTGATAATTATAATGTTACTTTCATGGTGAACTCATAATAAGATATTTGCACTTTGAATACATGATAAACTTTAACTCTGAATTGATCTACCATGGGAATGGACGAGATAATTTGACAAATCTCATTTATTGTTAATCTGAGTATTCATCGGATTTTGAACTGAACTTTTCACGCCAACTCATGGGATTAAACTAGAAATTTTATTCCATATTTTTGAAAGAAAAAAATTTCACACTTATTCGATTCACAGATTTGCTTTTTCTCAGTTACCATGAAGTTTGGTTTATAGAGAGAGATTTTCAGTGAAATAAAATGAATGAAACTGGACAAATTGGTTATCATTAGGAGTGAAATCTTGATGATAACAATTCTTTCAGCTTTTTTTGCAACAATAAATGACTTTTCATCTCGATGAGTTATGAATAATCATGATAACTTTTCTGGAAAATTGTGCTTGCCTCAGAATATTTGAATCCACTTTCCCATGGAAATGAATTGACAATCATCTTCCATCTTTACATAACAGTAACTTGACCATAAATATTGACCATTGTCATTTGGAATGGAATAAAAAAGTTTACATAAGTTTTACTGAAGAGACAAATTTGATATTTATCATGAGATCATGTAACAATGTAACTCTGGAAAATTCAATGGATTCTTTAAAGATCTAAAGATAAACAAGAAGAAAAATT